GGGGGGGGGGAAAGACGACGCACGCGGATGAAGTCGAGCTGGATATTTTGCAACGCCCATGGCAAGTTTTTTTTTTTTGGTCAGCGCTCAAGATTCTGACGCAGTTTGGCGTGCCAACGCCCCCACGAGGAGGAGGTCGGCCCTCACCTTCATCGGCTCCGGCAGCGAGTCCATCGTCTTCACGACGCGAAAGAGGCCCGTGACAATATCGACGGCGGCGTAGCCTTGTCCCCACAGTTCGTCCAGGCGCTCCATCGCCTCGTCCACGTGGCCCTTGTGTGCCGCGCCCAGCAGCGCGCGAATCGTCACCGGATGCGGCTGGTCGCACACCTTAAAGACGTTGTCGGGAGACACGAAGCCCAGGCCCGTCCACGTCGATTGCAGATTGTAGATGGCTTGCCGCATGTCGCCTTCACTCGTGAAGCACAGCGCAGCAAGGCCTTCATCGGAGTACTTGACCTGTAGTGCGTCCCACACACACACACACACACACGCCGGTCAGCTCTCTCTCTCTTCCTCGCCATGAAGACTGAGCCAGCGGCCAAAACAACTCACATTCTCCATCTTTGCCACCTGCACCAGGCGCGCCATGAGCTCCTCGTCGCGCAGCTTGCCGTAGCGCAGGATGGCGCAGCGCGACTGGATGGGGTCGATGATCTTGCTGCTCTGGTTGCACGCAAAGCAGAAGCGCGTCGTCGAGGCGTAGATCTCCATGGTGCGGCGCAGCGCCTGCTGTGCGCCGGCCGTCATACTAGACCCCACGAAAAGGGGGCGCATGAGCGTGCAAGAATGGGGCACAAGGGAGAAGGGGGGGAGAGGGGGGGGGGGGGCAGTACGCACGAATCGGCCTCGTCCAGAATGATCAATTTGTGGCGGCCCGCAGGCAGCGAGACTTTCTTCTGCGCAAACGTCTTGATCTTGTTGCGCACCACATCGATGCCGCTGTTTGATATGCATGACGCGCGCGCCGCCCACATAACTCGCGTCAGCTGCGGCAAGTCCAACGCCAGTGGGGGGCCAAACGGCTGGGACAGGGAGAGGGAGAGGAGGAGGGGGGCAGGAAGAAAGAAAAACACACAACGCACCGCTCATCGGAAGCATTGAGCTCCAGCACTCCTTCTTTGTAGGCATCGCCGAGAAGGGCATGTGCGAGACAGAGCACAGACGTCGTCTTGCCGATGCCGGGCAGACCCTGGTGAGAAGCGCGGGGCGACGTGGGGGAGGGATAGTCGGGGGGAAGAGGGGGGG